AAATTATGTTTAAATCGAATTTTTTCCAATTGTTTTAGTGTGACAGGAAAAAATGAACGCTACTCAACAACTCACATACCAACTTTTTTTTCACTTGTTCCTCAGAAGCTCAAGCTTCGAATCCTTATCTTTACTTTTAAGTGAGACCGGCACTTGTCAAGATAAAAATCCACGATCAGAACTTTTCAGCCACCCCACGTATTTTGCGAAGAGGATAAAAAGATTGATACCTTATTAGACTCGGATAGTGATGAGATTATGCAGAAGAAGTCAAGAGACACTTCCTACCTCCTCAGAGGAAATTCTTAAAGATCTCAATGCGATTACTCAGCTATGCATTAGCACATTATTGGAAATATCAGCTAATTCAGATGGCGGAAAGAGAATAAGGAAAAGGATGTAGATAAATTTAAGCAAGGATCATTTTGATACAGAATGGTTGTTTTTTACCCCATCAACGAAATTATCTCAAGCGATCAGACGAGCAAATCGCAGATGAGACAAAGTTTACCATTCTCGTCATTCAATTGCCATGTATCGAGCTTTTCCGATGCTCCAAAGAAGAAAATAGAAAATCAGTATAAATTTGCCAATTATCTTGAATAACACATGCTGCGTTAACGGTCGGCATATTTCGAATTGGGTTGAAGAACATTAATATTTTTCGCAATCCATGCCAACAAAAAATTTTGATTGTCTTGACAAAGTGAACACGACCTGCCTCACTAAAAGTTGCCTACCATACAGAGTTTTGCGAATTTGGTTAGAACATTAACATTTTTCGCGATCCATGCCAACAAAAAAATCCCGAATGTTATGAACATGACGAATCATAAACCGAACGTAAATAAAGTGCATTACTTTAATTGAAAACGGTTAAAGCTACATGGAGCAACAAGTATTTTATTGGGGGTTTTTTTGACAATGATTAATTGCGATAGAAAAGTGCATGACTGCACACACAAGTCTTTAATGCCAAACGCAATGTTAATGAGTTGGTATTTCCAACGTCTAACAACAAGTTGAACCACGCAAATGAGTCAATTTTTCAGAGGAAGAATGATAAAATACCAGCACTGTGGTTTTTACTTCCCGACCTTATTAAACAAATGTTATTACCAATAACTTAAATTTTTTAATATAATCGTGTAAGTTATTTAAACGATACAACGTCGCCATTGATGTAGGACGTGTAGCAAGTTGGTTTCTGAAATCATTAACTTAATATTTAAAAAAGAAGAGATTTACATTATCGATAAAAAAATCAATAATACAGTAGGGATATCTTTATACTGATAAGCCCACGGAATTTTGGGCCGATAGAGCAAAAACGAAAATATACGCCCTAAGTGAATCTCGCCACTGTAATCACATATGCAATTCTTTATTACGATAGTTACAGAGAACTGAAAATAAATTAACTCAATCATTATCATTAGAAAAGAGTAGAAAAGCGAATAATTTAGAGCAACGACTTAAAAAAGCTAAAAAAAAGTGTATATACGCATTTGAAATCTACACACCTTGCTTCATGATTGGATACAAGTCATACGATGGAATTTTGAGTTTGGTTTACACAAATGTATCAATGCATTCTATTGTGTCGCGTCATGTGCTGATTTTGCGACGGATATTCCTTTTCGCGCACTCCTTATTCACGTCATATGACTGATACGGATGAAACCAATTCCATATGCAATTATTGTGATAGTGTTGAATGTCTCGTTCGTTCACTCATAGCGTTTGAACTGTTTATCGAGTTTTCACGACAACATACTGTTTTCCGATTATTCGTGCAAAAATTCTTTTCACGCTAATATCAACGCGGTGATATGTTCCTGCAATGAATAATCCCAAGGATCACGTCGCTAGGAAATTGTGAGTTCACGAGCTATATTAATCTATTCCGACTTTGGGTCTTATTTGTAATTTGCACATGATCTCAGAACTCCAGACAGAATGTGGCACAGCGAATAAAACTCTAATAATAACAACTTTTGTGTCCATTATTAATGTCTAATTCTAAACAGAAGCAAAATGTATGTTGTCAGCTGTTTGATGGATTTAGTCAACAGGCTCTCCCATCACGGGGAGTGATCCTCATTATATATTTTGTCAAAACATGAGAGTTTATTATTTAGCTCCTTAAACGGGTTAAAATAGATCCGACCATAATATTAGGCCTCGGCCCGGTCCCTACGTCTAACTGGTTGCTGCATATCACAGATTTACCGCGACGGATAATCAATCATGATCACCCGTAACACATGTGACAATTTGTTTCGTTAAAAAAATAACCCGAACTGCATCTCGATCATCGGCACAAAAAGCTTGCCAATACAAATATTTAAATATTTAAACATCTATCACTCCCAACTCTCCCAACCTGTCCAAAGTAATAATGACAAAGTTGTACACGGTCGAAGAAGTTTCTCAGCACAACACTGAATCCTCGATATGGATTATTGTCCACGACAAGGTTTATGATGTCACCAATTTTCTCAACGAGCACCCTGGTGGCAAGAAGGTCTTGATTAAAGTAGCTGGTACCGATGCGTCGAAACAATTCGACAATTTCCATAACAAAAGCGTTCTCGAAAAGTACCCACAACTATGTATCGGCGACGTTGGGAGTCCTGCTCAAGAAGACGATGCAGTACATGGTTCGGATGAGGGTCCATTCGGTGATTTGGTTCCATTTGGTGATCCTTATTGGTATCAGGACTTTTATAGCCCGTACTACAACGAGTCTCATCGAAGATTGAGAGCTATAGTAAGGAAGTTTACTGAAACTGAGATTATGCCTTATTGCTTTGAATGGGATGAGGCAAAGAAAGTTCCAAAGGAATTATTTACAAAATTCGCCAAAGTTGGTTTATTACCTAGTGTCTGCGGCGCACCATGGCCAAAAGCGTAAGTATGATTGAAGATCGTATTCAATTAATCATATCCTATTCCATAAACCGAGAGATTGGAGGAGGAAGACAAGGTGTTATCCCAGAGGTTGTAGGTCATGTGAAAAAAATAAAACCAAAGAAAAGACAACGATCCCGGATAACCTCTTATATTCCAAGATCGGGTGAAATAACTTTTGAAATATGCTGGCGCATTAATAGCCTATCAACCCAAATTTTTCCAAAAATGTCAACGTTCATGGCTTTTGCTCATGAGTATTTCAAAAGTAACAAGTGACATCGCCTCACTACACATAATTGAGTCATACGATAACGTCTATCTAATCTTGTCATTTTCCTATATAGCTACACGGATATAGCTCCCGCCGCAGGTATCGCGCCCGAAGATTTTGATGGATTCCATGAATTGATTGTTTGCGATGAAGTCGGTCGATGCGGATCTGGTGGCTTACTCTGGGGTCTCATGGGTGGTAAGTGATCACAAATCGTTCAAATAGCGACGGGGATTTATTATTCCCATTATGAGTGACTTTCAATGACTGGCTTCTAAACTATTCCAATATGCATATTCTTATAAGGCCTTGGTATTGGTCTTCCGCCGGTTCTGAAATTTGCTTCCGAGGAGCTGAAGCAGCGTATTGCTCCAGACTGTTTAGCCGGACGCAAGTTCATCTGTCTTGCAATTACTGAACCTTACGCTGGTTCGGATGTCGCAAACATCAAAACCGAGGCCAAACTATCCGACGACGGAAAGCACTATATCGTCAACGGCGAGAAGAAATGGATCACCAACGGTGTTTTTGCTGACTACTTTACCACTGCAGTAAGAACAGGCGGTCCAGGCATGGGAGGTATCAGTTTGTTGCTAATTGAGAGAACTATGCCCGGTGTCAAGACTAGGCAAATGCAGTGCACCGGTGTATGGAGTTCTGGGACAGCATACATTACTTTTGAAGATGTTAAGGTGCCAAAGGAAAATTTGGTTGGAAAAGAAAACGGCGGATTTAAGGTAAAGTATAGTTGAGAGAGGTGTATGATAAAGACTAAATAGTAGATATGCCAAGGAAATCGCACCTAATAGTTTTTATTCATAATAGATTTATTTTTTTGTTCAGGAACCAGCCTTCCGATTTAGATTTGATTACTATTGCTAACACATTACCATCATCTCTTACGTTTTATTTTCAGTGTATAATGCATAACTTTAACCATGAGCGTATGGGTCTTGCAATGCAAGCAAGCAGATTTGCTCGTGTATGTTATGAGGAAGCCATAAAATACGCCAGCAAACGCCGTACGTTCGGTAAAAAGCTCATAGAACACCCAGTGATCCGCAACAAACTTGCGCACATGGCTAGGCAGATCGAAGCTACGCATGCGTTAATGGAGATTTTGATTTACCAGACGAATAGGATGCATGGAACGGAGGCTGCAAACAGACTGGGTGGTCCGATTGCTTTGTTAAAGGCGCAAGCCACGCAGACATTCGAGTATTGCGCACGAGAAGCAGCTCAAATTTTTGGTGGATTGTCGTATTCGCGTGGAGGGTATGTGAAGAAAAATAGAGGTTTCGTTAAAAATGCATTAGTGTAGATACACAGAGCACTCAAAAATTGATGTCGTGGTGTTTGATGCTGTTTAGATCAACTCTACTAATTTCCCTTTTTGGGGAAAAATTTTTTCGTTTACAGACAAGGCGAAAAAGTCGAAAGACTCTACAGAGAAGTCCGTGCATATGCAATTCCTGGTGGTTCTGAAGAGATCATGCTTGATCTTGGGATCAGACAGTCAGTCAAAGTTGCTCAGCTTTATGGAGCTAAGATGTAAACTTTGTAATAGGAACTCATATATGCAACTATCGAAACTTTTATTCTATAGTAATTTCTGTCTGAATCGAATAAGTGATGTATGTCTCTCTTCTAAGATTATGCGTAAATTTTTGGTTACGAATTTATTGTCCCAAAGATAGATAGAATTATGGGTTTTTTCGTAAATAAAGTGTTAAAGTCTTTCCTTTTTTTACTAACTAGACTGCTCGACCGCAAAAAAAAAAAATAGAGGGAGGGGTAGGAAGTTGCTACGCGATGGGATGTCCAAGTTTTTCTCCGTCCTTATTAGCAGCTATAGTTCTTATTGTCACGGTACAACCCTAATCCCCATGCCATTAGCAGTACTGATCACTGCCCGACACATACCCCTCAAACTAATTCTCTCCAGCCCATTTTGTTCCTTCTTTATCTTTGCGATTTCATAAATATGCTTCAAGCTAACTTTCCCTACAATTTCACTCCCGGGTTTTGCTGCACCTTTTTCTATCCCAGCAGCCTGTTTCAATAGCCATGTTGTCGGAGGGAGTTTTGTTATAAACGAGACGGTTCGATCGGGTTTTACCGTTATTAATGTGGGAATGGGCGTGTCGGGAATGAAATGTTTTGTGCGTTCGTTGAATGCCCTGCAGAAGTCGATGGCCTTTACACCGCGTTGACCGAGAGCTGGGCCCAGAGGTGGGGTTGGAGCGGCTTTGGCTGCGGAGAGGAGAATACGGATTTGTGATTGAGATGCTTGTTTAGTCGATTTAGACATGAGGAAGTAGGTTATGATATCATCTTTCTGATTAAAGACTTTATCACAGTAAAATTTGTCGATCTTTACACAGATCTACTACTACGGTATACTAATACTGATCAAATTACCCAGATTTATCAGTTACTGTTACGTAAAACAATGCCTTCAATGCTATCAAAGAGAGCTTACTTTATTAGTATATCTTTTCCTCAATGAAAGCGTGCACGAATCGTTGTTCATAGAAGCAGAGCGGATGAGATTATTCGGATGCGTTTGAAAACCGACAGCAATCACATCTATTTTTTTTTTCCAGTGTCGTTACTGTAGAAAAAAAGTTCTCGAATGACGATACGTGTGCTGTCATCATGATACTTTTCTGGTTAATTTCTCTCTCAGTAAAGGCAGGCAAAACCTTCCTCGGCTGGCCTGTAATGAAAACGCGAATGCAAAATTGTTACCACTCAAATGGCAACTCGAGGATATTTTTGAATAGTTGGCATTACTCAACAGCTTTTTCCTAACAAATGAGTTAATCACGCCCATTTTAATAACGTAACATTCAAAAATATTATGCATATTCAACGGCGATTTTTGACTCGAAATTAGCAAAGATATATTCAGTAACTTGGGGGAAATGACATCAAAATTGACGCTACAGAACGTGGTGAACAAAATTAATAAAACTATTGAAATATATGTATTATAATTTATGCTAAAATTTTTTGGTTTACATAATAAAATAATGCCCTTTTTGACGTTTTTCAGTTGTTTTAATGTATGTATACTATGTATCTTTCGTTGGTAATGTTAACAGTTTTGGTGGTAATATTAGTTAAAAAATGACGCTGACTGACCACGCAAAGTCTTGGTCTGCAAAGTAAAAGCTTGACGCGATAATAATAGTAAGTTATGATATACTCGAAAATACCGACCGGAACGTTCTCCGAGAAAATTGGATCGATTGTAAAGTGTCAGGGAATGACTTTTGCTGTCGCTGTTAATGATCGCGTTCTGCAATTGATAGAGTTTTTGCGCGCCGATTATTATTGGTCATTTTTGCATGTAGCAACGCAGATCAATCAGATGCTTTGACGTGCATTAAATTTTTTCATTCCTTCGTTATTCTCAAGACGAGCAAGATTAAGATGGACTATTCTATGCTGAACGAAGCTGAACGAGCACATATTCAGCGCCTTATTGAACAGAAACAAGTATGTATTATGGAACATATTATTAAATAGAAGGTGATCTATGAAAACGGGCATTCATGACATATAATTCTATTTTGTAAGTTTTCCCGTTTTCCTGAATCTACCGCTCCCTCTAAATTAGAATAAAAGGAAAGCCGGTTTTTGAACTTGGTTTTGCACTAATATTAATAACCATTATGGACGTCATTGATCATGTGCTTTAATCATCATATTCTTTAGATACGCGATGTTATGAGATTCTATTCTGGACTAGTGGAACGATGTTTCAATGATTGTGTAAACGATTTTACGTCCAAAGTATTGAACTCGAAAGAGGTGCGCAAAATATCAATAAATGCAAAGGAGATATGTGCTCGATGCGGTTATGTTAATTTATAGTCGTTATGGAATGATAACATTGATCCTATATATAGGAGACGTGTGTTCTTCGCTGCACTGAAAAGTTCATCAAATATAACGAACGAGTTGGACAACGGTGGGCCGAAATGAACCAACAACTGGCACAAGCTCAGAACCTGCAGGGGACACCGTTTCCTAAATGAGTGTTGACACGACAATTGTATTTTATATACGAGTAAATAGAAATAATCTTATGAATGTAATCTACTAAATCTTGTGAATTGTAGATAGATGACGACAATAACAAATACCTTTAAAACACCCCCCCCCCCCCCCCCCACACACACACTGCCAGATATTAGTCATTTTCATCAAATAAAAGACGCTTTCAAATTTTGCTTTTCACTCAAATACTCGACTATAAGCATAGAAATGTAACGGGTTCTTCAAAAAAACATGGGAATAAAGATCGCTCAGGCTTTATTAAAATATCAAAAATATAACAATATGATGATCCTTCCACCGCGCAAAAATAATTAGTTATCCGAGTAGAGTAAAAAAAAGGTAGAAATGAATTTTTACAAATATAATAGTCTATGGAGAGAAGAAGCCATGTACCAAATCGTAACAAGAGATATATATAAAAATATACATTAGATCAACATAGGCATACGCCAAGCTGAACACTAAGAATTGATGCGACAAGAATGTTCATAGATTTGTTCAAGAAAACAATGTGGTTTAAAAGAAAAAAAACGTTCAGTAATAAAGAAACAAGTTTAATTAACAGCCACCCTTTTTTTTATATTCGTCGCTCATCATCTCTCACTCACGACTGACATCCTCTTTGTATTGATTAATTTCTTTCCCATCAATCCATTCCCAGAATCAGTTACTATTACGCTCTTCGGTCTAGGTCTACTCCCATTCACCACGTTGGTTGTCTGCCTTCTCTGTGGCTTATCCTTTCCCGCCGGAGTATGAGGTCGCACCGGTATAGACGACGCTCTTGTTGGCTTCAACGTACTATTGTTACCCAACCCCGCTTTCTTAAGGGCCGAAGCTACACTTCTAGGATCCGGCGTTACTGATGTTGGTGTAGAGACGCTCGATATACTCGATGTCGAGGAATTCGATGAAACACTACTACTGCGTTTAGGCCGCCTGATTGCCGAGTTAGGATCTAAATACATCGACGAGCGTCTACTTTGCGACGGTGTATTAGTCCTTGCCTCGTTTCCGTTGGGGATGGCCACGCTAGGTCTCCTACTTTGACGACCGCTCGGCGATATCCCTCGCTGAGGCCTAGCACCATTCGTGTCTGTCTTAGCCTCGACGTACATACTGCCACGACGGCTGGCACGAGTTGGAGAGGATGGACGTGATGTTGCTGGAGATACTGGGGCAGACGGACGACTAATGTTTCTTGAACGGGCTTGGTTTCGTTCCGCAGGTGTTTTACCGCCATGTTCGAAACCAAAGAACATCTTATTCACAACACGTTCGCTGATTTCCTCCTCCTATTTTTTTTCAATCCCGTAGAACAACTAGTCAATATGTGAAATGGGCGACAATCGTGAAGTAATGATAATTGTGACTTACAAGTCCCTCCAGATATCGTTTGCCTTCATGCATAAATGGCTTTCTTTCGTCTATTGTTAAAAATTAAAAATCCTATCGTTAGAAATACTGAATACTAGATTTTTGCCATGCTACAATTATTTTCTTCTTCATAACTCACTTGTCTCATACTCCAAACAAGCATCGACGAGCCTCTTTTCAAGCCTAACCAAGTTGGGCCAACAGGTCTTTCTCCACTTTTCTTCTTCGAGCAATCTGAACGAGGATTGGAACAACCTCTTTGGATCTGACGCGTGTTTTTCGAAATCTATCATTTTCTAATAAAACAAAAATTTCATGCTTAGAGAAATTCTTTCGAATAAGGTTGGAAAGTAAAATGAAAAACTTACTTCGATCAGTGATTTCCTTTCGAGCATAAGGCGATATATTTCGGCACACTTTGCATAGAGTTCTTGCAGTCTGGCGACCTCCGACGCAAGGACATGGTAAACTTCCTCACTCGATGAGACTGAATATAGAAACGTTGCAATTAAGATAATTGGGTTTGGACGACTCAAAAAGGAAAATCGAACAACTTTAATAATGTATACATCTATTTTCCAGATCGAATTACTTACTCTCGTGCAAGTTAACAATAAACTCGGCTCGCTCGCTCTGCGGAACAAGACATTTATCCCAGAGATCTTCCAACTGTGCTGTGTACTATTCGTTGATAAGGAGAGCAAATGCGTTAGTGTCGACATTCGTACTAGGCCCTGTAAGACAGATGCTCAATAAAATGAGACTTACTTCTTCGATCGCCTTTTGAACGATTTCTCGCATAAGTGCACGAAGTCGTTCGTGCTCTGCAGACAGCTGATAGTATAAACAAAATTAACCAATTAAACCAATTTCTACAATACATTCCAACTGACACACCGTTTTTTATAAACTTCTCGTTCCATTATTTCACACACAAACCTCGTTCAAGTACTCTTCCTCGACTGAATTCCTAACAATCACTCTTCGATCGTCCTCGGGAACATTCAATTCCTCCCATAACGCAGTGATAGTTTTAACCATCACATCCCTTCTATCTCTTCTCTCGACATAATCTCGCTCGAAGAAAGTAACTTTGTTTTGTAATGCCTCCAATTGTTCTTCAGAGAGAAACAGACCTGACGGAAGTGATGTAGAGTAATAAGTGTATGTCGGTATAGGTGGTGTTGTGTAGGGAGTGCTGAAATATGTGTAGCGTTCGGAAGGAGTGGAGGAAGAGGATGAAGATGACGTTGTAGAAATAGCAGATGTAGATAGCGAAGACGTAGAGGTGGATATCTGTGACGTGATTGTTGCTTTGGATGTTACTGGTAGTGTATAAGACGAGTGGGCGGCATTAGCGTTGATGCTGACGGAAATATCTCCTTTTTGAATTTCATTGTTTACTGTCACTTGATCTTCTTTCTCATTCGTTGTCCCGCTTGCTTGTTTGTCGGCATTACTGCTATTATTCAGAGCATCCATTAAGGATGGTTTGTCCTCGAACAACTTTGCGAGAGCATGATCTATGTCGTCGACTGGAGCGTACGAAAATGCTGTCCAATAAAAGTGAAGCTTTATAGCAGAATCTTCAAACATATCACGCCGAGTTGACTTGTGATGGGAGGAAAAGGATATACAGTGAGTAACTTGATCAGTATCTACTAATTCCATTGCAAGTGATAGCTGCAATCAATCTATGAATACTTACTATTAAACGATTTAATGCATCGTATTTGAACCAGATCTAACATAGATAAAACATTGGAAGTAATATTCAGTTAAATACTGTCAAATTGAAATCTTACATCCGCATACATAGACTCACCGGTTGGACTGCAGCAGTGCTTAGATCGTTTTCAAAGTCCTGTAACAGAGGTCGATGATTCAGGTGTGACGTCAGATAATCTCAATCTATTTTGTGCTCAAACGTTGCCCAAGTATACCCAAATGCTCTATTTTATTCTCTCATCTTGCATACCTCAATCGATAAATCTAATTCTGCAGCTCCTAATTCCTTGACGATTTGCTTGATTCCCTCAATCCACAATTTCAAATTATTCCGTGTAACATTTATTTCCTAATTAAAAGTTCACGTGAAAAATTATTGCCATAGTAAGTACGATAGATATACAAGTAATGACATAGGCGAGACGAATGAATCTCTCTCAACATCATGATTGATAGCTCGATCAAGCACAACGACCATATTAATATGACAACAGGGACAGCCTATCAAACTATCAAACATTGTAGCGCTTGTGAATTCTAACCTCAGACAAACTGTCGTGGAGAGATTGTAGTCTATCTCTTGTCTTGGCATTAAACGCAATCGGTAAACCCGCAGCTTCCAACACTGTATTCTCTGATTGTCGGCCGAAGAGATGAAACATCTCATGTATGTTGAGCTGTGATGTGGGTGTTCGACATTTGATTAGAAAAAAATCATTGTAAGCGAGAATTATAAAAAGTAATCACGAGACATGATTGCTGTATTGTGATAGATAACGCAAATATAAGCAGCGTAATGCGATACCGGTGCATTTATAAAATCCCGTCATTATAAAATCGCCTTACCAATAAATCTTCTATTTCCGCTCTGAGTCGCTCTTTCCACATCGAAGCTTCTCTGAGTGTGGCTTCAAGCTCACGTTCGATTCCCTATCATATAAAACACATCAGTCATGCCGAATAAATCATAACCGGAATAAATCACTTGTTATTGCCGCTTCTGACACGCAAAATATAATATAAGATTCCTTTCCCCCATCTCATTTATACTTTCTCTCCCTCACCCTCGACTGTATACAAGAAAGATATTCTCAGAGCTCTATCTTCATACCTCCAGTTGCTTCTTTGCCCATTCGGACTGATTTCCATAGTCGTCACCGTCGTTTTCACGTCGAAACTCTTCCCATAAGGTTTCTAGTCTAAGTAGTTTGAACTTTATTTTGTCCATGGAAGACGACTATTACTCTATTCAGAAGACAGCAGGAAGTAAAAGGAGGAGAGGGTGCTATTGGGAAATGTTGCGAGTGAATAGACAAGGGAGTTGGCGATAAGGTTTAGTTGAACGATATCGAGATAAGTAGCGATATTTTCTTGATTAGTCCAATGTTGGATTTATATATGTCAATATGTTTATTAATAGTTTTATTACACTTAATATAGATATATTTCACGGAAGTATAATAATAAAAATATGCAATAGATTTTCTTCTCCTGCTTGCTAAGGTCACTTTTAAGACCGGTTCAAGTGGACTCAAGAGTAATTGAGGGAATAAATGTGGATGTGATCTTTATTACAAGGAAATAGGCAGGGTTTTTGAAATCACACAGACTTTGAAAATATATATATAGAAATTTTGATGTGTGCCGTTGATGACAATACCAATAGTAATATATAAGATATTGTGATGTCATTGTAATCTCATTACAGAGACATACACACGACAGAAAATATGGCCGCTATCACTCTTTCTATTCGACGACCCGTCCCAATACCGACCACTCGTCCATTTGTTGCTTATGCCCTACTCCTACTGGTTGATACGTATGTATGCATGTAGTGATTATTATTGTTCATTTGTAATTTCAAACGCTCACGAAAGAGAGATAACATGCGTGGGCCAAATAGGGTCTGCATACATGTACGCCCATTATCTTAGGGATGAAAGAGGGTTAATAAACATGTAAGGGAATGATGGATAAGTATAATCAGTAATGTTAATAATCTATGCCATCTCACTATTCAATTGTTGATACTAACACCATTGTTATCCTATATTCAGGCCCCGTTTCAGGACTGGCCGTTTGTTTTGATTCATTTGTTTTAGATGATCGTCCAATCATTTAAGTAAGTTGGCCAACCCACCCGAAAAGGATCTGATTCCGAACACCGTTTCTTCATCAATTAAGTATAATTATTATAATATTAATAATAGACGAGAAAGAATCCATAAATAAATATTCCAATTGCAGCAGTGATCAAAGTCTTAGGTCTTACAGGGGCAAATGTTAATCGACAACAATGTCAATGTCAACAATATGCGCCAACAATACTTTTGCCCACCCCTGCCTGCTCGTATGACAATAAACAAAGAACCTGATATTAGTTATGGCTTGGAGAGTAGCAAACACGCCTTATATCACAATAAACCTTGTCGACGCCGATCGACGATGTTACAAACTGTAAAAGAAAGGAGTCCATCTAACGTTTACACGGTATCGAACTTTAAAATCGGGCGTGCCATTGTCTTTTGAGTTTCAAGAGCTGAGCAGTCTGTCTTGATGAGCAGTAAACTAGCATATCGAGACCTGCTTTAGATTTTCATTGACACAGTGATCGATTTCGGGTTAGGGAAGGGTGGATTATTGGAAGTATTGCTATCGATTATTAAATTGGTTAGGAGACGATGCATCAAACTTAAAACATACAAGCATTGGCGGATAGAACATTTCAGTGCCTTTCTAGGACCAACTGTATAAATAGCGATAGTACAAGTTTATCAAAGGGTTAAGGAAATCACTTTATAGTTTTTCGATACGACAAAATGTCGAGATACTCTGTTATCCTTTGATATGTGTCAAAGAGCAGGGTTTGCTGTGCACCGAAAATAGTTAGGTTACAAAATAAAGAAGTCTTAAATAAGTAATGACAAAGTAGATAATACGCCACAAATCGTGAGACTATTTGTAACAAAAAAGCTATAAAAAGCGTTATGCATATTATCGTTATAACAAACCATTTAATCAGTGCAACATCCTCCCCTGACTGCTGTGCAGCAAAAACACGCCGTTAATACAAACGAACATGACAGAAAAACATTCGCCACTAAGAATGTTACGAAGTCTTTCTGTTACTGGTAAGAAAAGGCCTTTTTACATTCATGGAATTGGGATTATAGATAACTTTATGCGATCTTTGGTCGGGTTTTTCTTAATAGTGACAAATACGATTAGGGTTTGTCCATAGCGTTCAATGTAGGCTCATTAACAAGCCAATTTACGAATTGGTTAATTAACATACCTGATGTAATCTCGAACATCACGAAATAACAACCGATTGTTTTGTATTGTAAATTGCATACTACATAAATCAATTGTTTCTTCATTAAGATTGCATTGTGGAAGGTAAGGCAAGCTCGCATATTAAGATATGGTTACATTATCGAAAGAATTTTTCGTCAAAGAGACATTATCAACAAGAGCATGAACTGGTAATCTTACACGTGCACTAGCTAAAGAGAAACGTCAATGCATGTAATAATAACGCATTGTGACTTTTGTACGTACAATATTCCCGATCAAATGTTCACAATTTTGCTAATCCTTGGAAGATATCCTTGTATCAGTACTGATTGTGGGAAACTCATCAAAACTGGGGAGTGCTGTATGTTTTACTGTTACTGAGTAAAAGATTTGTTGTTTTATTATCCGCGTTTGGAAACCAGATGGATATACGAGAAACTGTCGTTTTAAATGACGTATCGTAAAAGAGGACGAATAAGCTATTACTATAGCAGTGCTGATAATAAAAGGCACGTGTGTTACCGATCATTTTATTTAGTTGACACGTTTTGTGATGTGTTGTGCTCATTCATGAGAATGTATCTTTTCTAAAGCAGTCTAGTGTAGCTTGCTATTTCAAATTTGAGCAAACTCCACATTCATGTACCTTAGCTGCTTCCCCCTCTGAGGTTGCGAATTAATACATGCAAGAACTTCTTAATTAAACAAGAACGAGAAACAAGACAATTTAAATTTAAATTATAGAATAGTTCAGAGAGATAAAGAAGGACTTACACAGTGTCAACTTTGTTTCACCAAAACTTTTAAAAAATTTATTGCCAAAGTTTGTTATAACGCAACTTAAAAAAAGTCATTACTAATACTAACTATTTTTGTCTCTTAAGTAAAAAACATTCCTTACATTTAAAAATATTTAAATGCAAGTTTTCTGAAATTTCATTGAACAATAATAATTTAAGATATAAATTTTAAATTTATTATTATATTATATATGCCAAAATCCAGTCACTTGTAACAATTAGACACACCTCCTTATTGCTCATAATCTGATTAATACAGGTTTGCTTACTAATACATAAAAACAAAAGTTTTATGCAACTGGATGATTGGTATTAGATAGCTTATGCTGAAGTCGGTGTTACCTTGTTTTTAGAATGAATGTTATTATTATTAGTATTAAGACTTACAAACCTTCTCTTTGGAAAGGAAAATTAAAAATAATTTCAGAAAAAAATAAACATGCTTAATAAAAATACTAGCTCTTTCCCTACTTTTAAAATCCAGAAACTCGTCGATCTCTTTATTTTCTGATAATTTAGGCTCGGACGAGTGTGTATGAGTATTGGAAGAAATATCAGATGATGCTTCGTAGAGAATAGAATCTTCTAATACGTGTACGGTATCATTTTGTGCCTGCTTTTGTTCCAATTTCATAACCCTGTCTCTAAGCTCAACATTCTCAGCAATGAAATTACTGGTGTCTGTTTTGTTTTTCTTTTCTATCTGGTCTTGAGCTCAGCATTTTCTTCTACAGCTTGTTTCGATTTTGTATTCTGTCGTGACGTTACACGTGGGAGAGCGATCGTGTAACCTCCTTGAGATTTAGCGTCTTCCAACGGCTGTTATCGGCAACGCCTACTAATGCTAATTCTTCTAAACAGTTAGTGACCTTTTAACAGGCTTTGAATACTTACGAATAAATCGTATCGTATACGCTAATCCGTTGATATCTATTTAACCTCGAGTAATTATCGACGATTATGATCCGATGGGATTAATTTCGGAAATCTATCGTTTGGGAAAGGTTTTCTAAACTAACGCGTTTATAGACAATTAAATAAATATTCTGCAAAACCGAACTCAGGGGCAAGACTAAGTCGCAGCTGAGAGTCCGGATAGCGGTTTTCACTACTCTCAGAATCGATGAATTTAATAGAACCACAGGATTTTAACTGACCAAAGAGAGATTATAAATCAACCGGTCAGAGTTTTATTAGAATATAAAAAACTATTCTATAGGACCGTTTGTATATTCGAATGATAAAGGAATAAAATATTAATGACAATCTGATGAAGGTCGTAGCTGAAGATGATGAATGATGAAGGAAAACGGCGCGCGCTTAAATAACTGTTCTTGTCTAACCAATTCGCTGATAAATTTGATATAAATCGGGAAAAGTATCACTAATTACTAATGTTCTAATTTTACCAACGTCTGTTAGCCCGATATGGTCGATTTTTGAATGTTCGTACAAGATGGCCTGATATGGGTCAAATCTGTAGCGTCGTGCGGGAATTGGACTCGTATTACGTTGGAGAAATCTATGCCGCAGGACTTGTCAATTGTTGACCGCAGAACCGGAGATTTGTGTAACTGAGCGGAAATCTCGAGGAATACGTAGACGTTAGAGCTTATTCCATGACAATTCTCAGCTTTGTCTCGGCATTCTCCTTTCTAAGCTCAGCAATCGTGGCAATGAGTTGAGAATTTAATTCTTGCAACGAATTGATTTTTATTGAGTTTTCGATATTATTTATAGAAAGCAGATTTATTTATTATTCAAACTTCGTGTTAATTAGGATCTGAGAATAATTACAAATCACGTGTGCGGAACGCCGATTACTTTAAATTCGAAATGCTGAACATGAAGCAACTATTGAATATGAAATAATCTACATTCACGTAAATCACTTCCGACAAATATAAATTCTTATTATATTAAATATTGACGAATTTTGATTAATGCTGTAAGCACTTTCTGTCTCCCATCAGGTTCTGCGAGATCGAAACCAGTTCTTAGCCCGTTTGCTCCTGGCCACCGCTTTATCACAATTGACTGTTGTTTTGGCAAACCGAAAAGAAGCTCCTCCCAATATGACGCAGGAATTACAGCTTTATAAAACGTTACGTATCTAGAAATCACACGGACAACATATATGGTTTGATCTTTCCAATCCTGCCTGTCAACGGAACGTATATCCTCATTGCCACAGGCGAGAACCTCTACAGCGATTTGTGATTCACCATAATCAGTGCTTGGCCTGACATTTTTCAGGTGTTTGTCCTGTTACAAAGTCATTTGAGTCGAAAATATGAGAACTTTTCAAGTAATCAACAACATACAGACCTCTACTCCGACAAAAATCGAGCCTTTATTCTTAATTACAAACTCGGGGATTGATGAAACGCAAGGCTCATCTTCGATGTATAGTCTGCATGGCGGGTGGTTTCTGGATTTGAGAATGTGAACTTTAGAATGTATCGTGATAAATGACCTAATGCTTACATACCTGATCTTTAAAGGCCAGTCATTCAGCTCAACGATACGAAGTAGATCATCCACAAGTGTGTCCGTAAAAGTTTCGTCTGTCCCTACCACCCCTAAACCATTGAATACGACGTCATGCAATTTGTCAAAAAACGTTTGAACCTTAGGATCCGAGATGCATCCAAATTTATGAACATCGAATTTTGCCCTTGCAAGTATTTCACCATTGATGTTGGGAAGAACATAGTGTTTCGGAAAGTTGGTGACTGGAACAATATTTAAATTATAAGTATTATTCGTTTAGAAAATCGTTGATACAATGTAGTTCGCACCTTCAGCTGGAGGAATGACAATGTCCTCGTTTGAAGCCGGTGCGAAGCCCACTCTCAGTAGATCAATATCTCGTATTTTAAACTTAGCTGCGGAGGGAGGAAGGTTGTAGATAGATGAGGGGTTTGTAGGCTCGGCTTTTTTGTTTCTTTTTTTGTTTCTTTGTTGCGAAGTTAGGGAAAAGAGTCTTGGTCGGAGAGTTCGAACGGCAGGGCGAGAAAACCTCGCAACGAGACTGAGCAAAGACATTTTATAAACCAAAAAAATTGATAATGCTTTATTGAAACGAGAAAAATACGCCTACGTTGTAAAAAAAAAGGCGATAAGAAAAAAAGAGAGAGTAGTATTATTAGAAACCGAGATAAATGTATTATCTGCATCACGACCCAAGAAAGATTTACCAAAAGCAGATGTAAATGTACCATTCAAATCTCAAAGAAAACAGAATAATCTGACCCATGACTATGCTATTTTCCGCAATAAAACATTTGGAACAATATTCTGATCTATATTATGAATCTAGTAGTGAAAATGTTGATTATTACGGAATACTGCTGAGACATTATGTCCTTTATGCAAGTTAGACCATGATGATGAGAAAGACATAGTAATAGAAGGCAAATATGAAACTACTATATTAAATGTGAACAGCGCGAAATTTATACTGTGTAAACTCCGCCGATTTATTACATAGTATTGCAGTTAATGTACCACTCGGATACACATTAAAAAAACTTGATATCCAATGCAAGAAATTAAATTACTTTGAAATTACATAAATGGCAACATTGATACACAAGCCAAGTCTGATAAGGTACCACTAACCCCCGAATAAACTAACTGACTTATCAACCATTATATCTGATAAGTTATATGTAAGAAAAAAACTGGGCCTGGAACCCCTACAAATTGAAAAAATTGATAATTGTATCTTACAGGACATTCGTTGGAAACCCGGGTACAATTTCTTCCTCCGCCTTACAAACTATAGAATGCACATCCACTTATTTTTTAATGAATTTAGTTTTTCCTCTACATCTTTAGGTAATGGTACTGAGTCTAGTATATCGATCAACATTCCTGTCTTTCGGAGGAAATCAACCAAATAAACGACGAGATCGGAATTTTTCCAACATGCAGGCAACCCATAATCGAACTGTTGGAACATCTCCATTTCGAATACTTGATTCTACATCCGTAAATATACGCTATTCTGGAGTTCTTGGAAAAGACATTCGCGCTTAGCTGTGAAATAATCCTTGTTCTGAAATTGGGAGATTTGATGATCTTTGTTTTAATACGCTTCATGCGAAATAGCATCTGATTTGTCCCAGCATTTATTTCTGTATTACTTTTAAAAAGACAAAATGCCCGCTCAAATTTGGGATTAGTACATGAGATTCCTATTTTTAACGTACTGTTATATTAATATGCTACTATATCAACATCTTTCCATGCTTCTTCAACATCGCTAAAGTCCTGTACTTTCTCAACGGGATCAGATTCGGCATGATACTCCTTAATACGTAATTCTGGGAAATCAGCTCTAAGGGCACTAACAATTCCTTTTAGATCGTATCTAAGGTGACATATAACTGATGCACTCTTTCGCTCTCAGATTTCAATACAGACATTTTTCTTGCCCAATTCCAGAGTTCTATCAATAATGTTTTAGGAGCCAAGTGGAACAATTTACCTTTTTGGGGCTGATAAGTATTATGGATAACTGAAAAAAAAAGTATCATTAATATTTTGTGTTAAAATACAAAATAATAAATTATGCAGACCAGTCTTAAGCGGTTATGAAATGCAAGTGGAGTGGTTTAGGTTTGAGCGACCTGCAGCCCCAAACTTCCAAACCCGAGCGATCTACAGTCCCCAAGTTTGCCACCGTACCAGGGTCATACAGGCGACCCATATGCCGCAAGGATGCGACTTGCAGCCCTTCCTCGCCTTCAAATACATTTCCCTAGAGGTTATCCCTTGCAAGCCAAAGCCTTGTAAGATGAAATTGACTCACTTGTCAATTGTCTCTGATTCCTTTCAAACTGTCTATAATATCCTCGCTGAAGAATTTCGAAGCAATAGCTTGCTCTAAATTCTTGACGATATCGTTATATATTAATATTGGATGGGTTTGTGAGTCGGATTTTCCTGTAGATAGTAAGTGGGAAGATCATCGGCGGTTATAGAGCTGACGTTGAATGTGGCATCTCGTCGAGTTAAGAATCGGAAAAGGCTTGTTTCGAAGAAGGATATTTTGTTCACCACTGGAATCAAAGAAATTAGTAATTAGTAAGTTTCAGTTGTTGGACGAAACACGCCAATATTTCTCACTAGTGTTTAGACCGCGACGTGTGTTCGTGAAAAAAAATTTTTTACGCGTATGTACGTACAGTCGACACTCCCTAAATGCACCTCGGGACTGAGAGTGCGATGCCGTGCATTTAGAGAACAATGCAAGCTGGTGCACTTACGGAGTGGTAACACGTTCACGTGATAACATTTTCGGCGTATTATAATTTATTTGAAATATTGGTCTAAGTACGATTGTTGCATCGAACTACACAGTCAACCGAAGGCGTCCGTTCCACCCTTTTTCTTCGGATTAGCGGGGTCTTCGGATTAACGGGACACCCCTGTAAACCGAAGCTTATAATACTGAACATGACGACTTCGGATTAGCAGGAGAAGTAATTTGAATTTCTCTGTAAACAACTATTCTTGGTTAAAAAAAGCGGACGTTTAAATCAATATTCGGTCACACTCTCGCATGTGATGTTTATTTGTAAAATCGTTTTAAAACTACTCGAAAATTACTATTTTGTAAATAAAACAACTTGGATTAATCAGTACTAAAAAACTGCTAATTTCCGTTTGCACCTTCGAGTCAATAAGTGATTGATTTAATTTCCTGCTAAAACGTTTGAGCTCTACAAGAAAACTATTACTGACATCAAATTGCTCTTCGGCGTTTGTTAAAAAACTTGTCAATTCAACTTTATTGGTTAAAATTATATGTGCTACATTAATCTTCGGATTACACGTCGGAATCTTCAGTTTATACAGACATTGCGCCGGTTTAAAAAAAATTCGGATTATCGGGGTAAATTTGATATAGCTAATAGATGGTTCAAAATAATCTTCGGTTAACAGCTTATATAGATTTAATAGTAATTTTCGGTTTAACGAGGTAATTTACATAGGGTTGGAGGCGTGTTTAAGAAATAAATCGGTTTAACAAGATATTCGGATTAACGGGGTTCAGTTTAACGGGATTGACTGTGTAACCTTTTTTTCTCTAATATACCTTTCTAAAATATTTGCACACTTCAATTGATCTTTCGTATTTTCTTAAAATAAAATAACTATTTCGATAATTCATGCAGTAGCTAATGGGCATGTTAACATATTGGGTAACGGTGCTGTTGTTAAAATCCTACCAATTATAATTTTACTCGATGTATGACAATATTGATGTTGCTTACTAATTCGTAATTAATATCACGTGTGTGCATTTAGAGATTATTCTCATATAGTCAAAATCTATTGCACGTGCAGAATATAGATTTAAGTACTAAGTGGGACCGCAGAATATCGTGCATTTAGGGAGTGTGTGCATTTAGGGAGTGTATGCATTTAGGGAGTGTGTGCATTTAGGGAGTGTCGACAGTATGCGATCATGGTAGGTAACTTTGGTAATATTATATAATAATAAAAAAAAATAAAGAGCCTATCCATTTGACAATATGTTTCTAGGTATGTATTCCGGGTATGTTTTCAGGGTAGGTAACTTCGGTAATATTTTATAATAAATATGAGAGAAATCTACCCATTTAATGATATGTTTTTGGATATATTTCAGGTAGATAACATCAGATTTATTCATAATTATACAGTGTGGGACAAAAAATTTTGCCCTCTACAACCAATAATTGAATTGAGACTCAAAATACCTAATTTAAAACTGCAAAACGTACAGATTTTTTTATAAAAATTAAAAAAAAAAAAACAACGTTTACCATTACGTTCAATAATTGCCTCGCAACGTCTCTTCATTGAGTTTACTAAATTTTTTACAATTATACCATTCCACCTTTTCTAACCATAAACCGCCTTAATTCACTAAGATTTTGCAGTCTTCGCCTTTCAACATTTGTTTTAACTATGCTTCATAGATTTCTATTGGGTTATGTCAGGACTATCCGACGGCCAGTCAATAATTATTGGCGTAGAAATTGTTTAGCGACAGAACTAAAAACTTGTATGTTTCGGATTATTGTTCTTTTATTTTTTAATATTATATTTAATTGTCCTAATTGAGATGTTGTTTTTTTATAAATTTCTAGAGGAGATCGTATCCCTTGATTCCATAAATGTAAAACAACTTGAGGCGTTGATTTTTTATCTTGTGCGAGCATTTGAATAGCTGTTTGAAAAATAATTGACAATGTAACAGGTCAAAGTTCAATGAGGAAACAAAAGTTTGCAAGACGCGATACGCGTTAAATATATAGTAAACATTATTTATTTCAAATACGTTGAGCATCACATGATTAAATCACATCCTATTACTATATATTTAGTCAAAGCTCTCTATGGTATGTTCTCAGATATATTTCTGGTGTCAAAATTCCAGCAACAAAAATCAGCATACTTTAATATAACGCGTCTTAAACATAGGCAAAGTCAATTTGGTAGCATTTTCTGATAACATTAGAAAATATACATCGCAACCAGAACGTAACTATGATGGATTTCCTAGAGTTAACTATGGACAAAGTAAGTCGATTTCATACTCGATAGCATATCCAGACAACGTGTATATAGTGTATATATAACAAACTAGATAGCATATACTCTGACTATTTGCCACTACAAATGTCACGTAAGTCGCAATCGAATCATTAAGCTCGCAATAAAGCCAATCCGGTTACATAACCCATCTCAACAATTTACTGCCAATGGAATCAATTGGAATTATTAAGCCAGCATATGATATCAAATATATTCGGCTCATCAAACTCGCGAGTGAGCATAACCTATCTCGACTATTTTTTTACAATCGAAATTGAGTATAATCACCATTTACTACATAAATTTTGATATCGAATATAAAATTATAGAAGCTTTAAAACATCATGCAGAGTAGTCGCCCATGACTCGTCAACATACAGCCTGATGGCGGAAATCGGTCAGGATCACCATTTCGACATATAATAGTTAGCTGACGACATGAACACAAATTCGTCGTCATATTTGTTATAGGTTATGGGATACCCAAGTGTGACGACAGACTCGTGAACTAATCGTCACTCGAATGACGATACAAACGCAAATCGCTCGTCATACCCGAGACTATTATAGTTTAATCTACGCCGTTTTCTGTTTATACAAACAAAGCAGCTCGAGTTTATGCAAAATTCAGTATAATAATTATACAAAATTTTTATATCATTTTGTAGCTTAGCTTTTCACAAATCTGCATGAGAAGTTTGAAGTGTTTAGCCTTTTATTTCTTGAACAATGAATTATTAAACAAAAGACAATTGCAATTAAAATTAATTTTTTTTGGCGCTAAACATTCGGTTTATTTAATACTGAGTTGGTCAAAATTTTGCCCTATTACTATTACGTTCAAAAAAAACTCTCTTAATGCAGTATCTCATTCAGAGCACATCATTAGATTTACACTAAAACTATCCCCCTGCTGCTCTAAGAATAACCTCTATCTAAAACAGAGCTTGCCCACAACCATAACGCATCCTCCAGCGATTGCCATTTAATAGGACGTTCTCTCCTTTCTATACTTACTTCATTTATACTTAACCACTTACTTAACTTCACTAGAATGCCCTGAACGGTTGACTTATCAATACCAAATTCTTTAACTAAATCATTATTTGAGAGAAAAGACATGTCCTTTTTTCTCTCGCATAATTTTTTTGCACACCCGTTAGCTGCTTTCTTGTCCGTTTCATTGTGAAGAATATACGAGAAAATTTTACCCATATATGTATACCATCCCCTGACAATTTAGTCCGGATTTTAATTTGAAAGATAGCATCAAGATACTTTTCCAAGGCAGGTGTCCATACTAATACAACAGGATTAATATCACGCATGGAGGACATCTGCAAACCCACTCAAGTCTTTAAAGAAATCGAACAGTCG